TATGCTTAATGTCATATGAGAAGTCAGTGGCAGAAATGATCTGGTCCTAGCTCCCTTTCCCTTCAATCACCCATGAAAATGTGCAGGACGAGGGGCAGGTAAGCAGAAGTCATAACAATTCTCCAGAGATCTCCCTTGGCTTTACTGGTTAATACCAAGGACCATTCCTTAAGCACCTAGTCTGAGTCATATCCTGTCCTAGTCACATCCCATAGGATAGTTTGCTTAGTCAACACAAGTACCCCTAATTTTGGGTATGTGGCCGCTGTTCTTGAAGGCCGGTGCTCTGGCCATTGCATGTGTTCCAAGAAGGAGAAAGGAAAAGATAACAAAAGGTCATACCTCCCAGTTAAATCACGCTTTTTATTAGGCTTTTACTAAAGTTGTATAACTTGTGCTAACATATTTTGGGTATTACTCACCTGCAAGGAAGCCCGGGAGATGAGTTCTTATTGGGTACATGGATACAGGATATTTTTAGAAAGGTGAAAATAACACAGGATTAACTGGATTTCTGTCACAGAAGCAATCAGGGGTCATAAAGCCTAATAGGCTTAGGAAATCACCCCAATTTCCCTAGGCTTCTATCCCCTATTCCAATGCCCTATCAATAAAAGAAAAAGCCATAGAGGGGAAAGGGGCAAGAGGTTGGGAATTCCAGGTGAGATGTTACATGCTTCCCTCCCCATACTTTCTCTACCACACCTACCTTGCCCCAGCCTCCAGTGCAAAGGCAGTAGTGACAGGTAAGGAGCGGCAAGAAAGGACAATGTCCTAAATTACAGTTTTCCTGATGCTGCCACTGTAGAAAGGTACCAGGAGTTAGGGGAAGATCCTGATAGGTGTCTTCTCTCTTCTACTCCAGTTTGGGAGCATATGTGAATTTGGAGACCAGTGGCCACATCACACTTGGAGGTTTCTGGAGCAGCCTGGGCAAATTGATGAGCAGGGGCACAGATGTGGTTTGCCTGAGGAAGGGATAGGGATGCTTCACGGAAGCCCCCCTCAGTCTTGAGAGCCTGGAAAAGGTGATCATCCACCATTGGTGCCATAAAAGGACTCTAGAGCTTAGAAGGGGGAGTCAAGGGCTGCAGTTGTGTCTGAGGTCACCAAGTAAGTAGAGTCATGGATCGTGGAGAGGTTTTGAAGACAGAGAGCTAGAAGGTTAAAAAAGAGCTAATGCTGCTGCTTCAATGGATACTAGAGGATCAGGGCAGCATTGCAGAGGAGCCCAGGATGACTATGCACCATGCCATAGTAAAGAGAGGGGTTTCTACCACTAGAAGGAAGGCCAAT